ATCGAAACTGTTGATTGGCATAATCGTAAGTAAGGGGACACAAACATTATCCTATAAAATATATGACCGCTTTTGTTAGAAGGTGATCAACCATAATAGATGGTGATGTGTGATTAATTTAAAATATTGTCACTCTAGCCGTTCTAATTTCATGTAAATTCTTCTCTTAAGAGAGAAATGATACATAATGTAGAACAAGGAACACCATTCTATATATTAATTTATCAAAATTTTTGTTAAGAAGGTTCTATCGATCATACAATAAAAGCGTTAATCAAACCACATGGAACAAAATTATTTAAACTTGTACTGATTGACCAGGTCCAGCTCAATTGACAAAGCTAGGCTTAATTTTGCACATTTGGGGGCCTTATATTCCACATCGCAATTTGATATGTAATAGTACATTTTGTGGGAATGTGAGACCAAATTATGCAAGCGTTTATAAAAAGTTGGGTTATTTTTTATATTATCAATTTGTTTTATAGTATAATTTCAATTTTCTTTATGAAATCAGAGCAAGTTGGCTCACGTGTGATGTACACTGGCCACATGTGCTTCACGTCATCCAATTTATGTTTTTCATGTATTAGGCTTGAAAATTCGCCACACGTGAGGGCGTGCAAGAATGTGAGAACAAAGTCCCACATCAGACCAAAACCATGCAAGGGAATTGAACTACTTTTTATATTGCCAAATTTTAAGATAAAACCTCAATCAACATTTCCAAAAGAAAACAATATCAATAAACATAATCTGCAGAAACAGCATAACATGAATTGTAAATGAAGTAAGTACATTTAGTTAAAGCTAAGGAAGGAGATGACTAGTGCAGTGCAGAGGATTAGGGCAACAATATTAAGGCTGAGAGAAGAAGCGCCGTTCCATTCCCACCAATGATCATCATCATCGTTATCTCCTGATGAAGAATAATCTCCTCCAATTCTGATAGTCACCTTCTGCCCTAATCTACTGCAGTGACTATCTTCCGTGCATATGAAGTAACGGGTCAAGTTGGACGTCAGTACAATTCTTGTAGGGCTGGAATCATAGAAACCAAGAGGGTTGTCCTTTGAGCAACTATCGTAATCAGCCTGTGTTACTTCAGCTACTCTGTGTTCCCCGCTCCATTTGAATTCTGCAAAATGATTGAGATATAAAGTTAAGCTGATGTTTATCAATCAGAAAGGATAAACTCTCTTTGTAGGAAGAGATGATGCGTTGTGAACACCTCACTTATACTCAAATTTCTTCGTTTTTTAATCTCACTTATGGACATTGTTGACTATTAGGGTAACAAGTGGCCCTCTAGAACTTCGATTTTAAGTCCTAACTAAGAATTTTGGTCTACTTAAAACCTAAATCAAAGTGATTATTAACCAATTCGAGACTAAAATTTCTAGTCTCGAATGATGATTTTACACCCTAAAACTTCAACCATGTTAACAAATGGGATAAAAGTTGAAGACGAATGAGTATAAATAGGATTTTCTCAACACGTACTGCTTTTAAAGACATGACGTCATGCACAAAGACGGACTGAATAAAAGGCCAATTTGAATGATGATTTAGAGGTAAGAAAGTCGGTTGTGAACTAATTAACTTACGACTTACCTATTGTATCACCAATCTGAAATCTCTTTGCGTTAGCCCAGGTGGAATAGGCAACAGAGCCAGCTGGAGGAATAGTCCAGCCTAAATCATCCCCAACAGTGTAGGTTTCAGCTGTGGCACCCTTCCACAAGGCCACTACAATAAGAAGCAAGCAACCGATCAATCCCTTTTGACTCACCATTTACCCTAATCTCTTCTTTCTCTTTCGAAGTGTTTTGGTGTATGAATCAGTTATTAATGTCGACTACTTATACACAAACAGAATAATGAGCAAAAGATAGAGTTCGCAGCGGGTGCCTTTTGGAAGGGAGTTCCTATTGTTTTCAAATAAGGCGGCTGAAGCCAACTTTAACTGATCAGAGGTTTGACCATATTGTATATCGACCTTTTTTCTTTTGAGAATAAAACGTGTTCTTCTGGAAGCAAAGAACAAAACATAAGGATTATTGTACAACCTTAGGATATTATTAATGTGTATCAACGTTGACTAAAGTTAGTGAATAGAGAAAGTGATGTACATCAGATGGCTGAAACTAGCTATCAACATTATTGTCACGGACTTGAGATCGGCAAAAATTATGAATTCAAAATGCGAGTAAATTTAAATAGATAAAAATCTAAAATGAGAGAAAATAATAGGGGAATTTGGGGTTGGAGACAAATAGTTAGACAAGATTACTCACAAAAAGGGAATGAGATTATTGGAAAGGGTGTAATTAGTTCATATAGTTAAGCAATCGGGACCAAGTGGTATAGCTGAAAGAAAATTGAGATTCTACCAAAAACTAATTGACAATACATGGAGTAACACAACTTGTTTTTAAACCAATGTAAGATCCCTTCTCTAATCAATGTGAAATTCATTCTCAACACACTTCGTCACATCGGGTGAACCCTCTTAGAAATGAAAACTGGATTTGCCTGACTCCTTCAACCTATTGGTCGAGTTACTTGTTTCCACTTGCCTTACAAGTCGAGCCTAGCACATGTGCAAAACAAATCGGGTGACGTGGAGCATGTGTGGTATTTGGGCTTGACACATGAGACAACATGCTCTAATACCATGAAGAAAGTTGAGGTTCCACCATAAAATTAATTAACAATATTGAGAGTAGCTCAATTTCTTATAAACTCATACAAGGTCCCTTCTCCCATCAAGGAGAGATTCATTCTTAACAGGCTTCTTCATGTGTGGCGGATTTTCAAGCCAAACACGTGAACAACACAAGAAATGTGATGTACATAGATAACATGTGACCATTGGGTTTCACACGTAGGACAACCAACTCTGACATTGTGAAGGAAGTTGAGGTTCCATCATAAAACCAACTGGAAAAACGAGGAATAACTCAACTTACCTATAAGCCCATGCAAATTCCCTTCTTCCATCAATGTGGGATTCACTCTCAATATAGGCATGGTATGAGATGTGCAATGTTTGTTCATTCATTTATATGAATTAATGAGAATAGAGACAAGAAATTTGCATTGTAATATGCATATATCAATAATGATTGATACTTGACCACATGATGTACTTATTTAGCTTTGTCAATTTACTGTGATAATGTGTATGCCCTTATTACTATTGATACTCACCCCTCCACAAATATTCTTTTTGTAGGTTTACAAACTAGACATTGGTAAGATAGACGGATGAGATCGAATTAGATAGGAGGGAAGGAATTTTATTTCTTCTTGCAGTTGTAAGAAATTATTGGTTAATTTTACAAGAGGAATTTCATCCAATTTTAGGTTCTTTTTGTTTATTTAAATTTGACTCACTTCAAATTCGAAATTGCATGACAGTTATCACTAGAACTAACCCTGTTGTTTCTAGTCCAAAATTGCCCCCATCCCCATCGTCGTCGCCAAACTCCGCTTTAGCTGCAACGTCCGTTGCCACCACTTTGTTTGCAATCGTGTCTACTATCATGCTATGTTCTTATTAATCCACATGCTGTAATATGATCTTACACATATCAATTGGCAGCCATTGTGACTTGCTTTCGAGGCCCCCTAATTTCATTTTGGACCTCCTAGTTGAGGATTGCTTGTGACTGATTTTACTGGTTACTTGTAATCTCTGATGTACTGTCTGGATTGGGGCTGTTTTGGCTCCAATCTCTGAAGATTACCATCGCAACTTTTCAAAAAGAAAAATAAAATAAAAATGCGTGACCATATGTGATGGTGACACCAAATAACTTATCTTGAATTTTAATTGTACCTCCACATGTGTAACATGTATCATTTTATAAATTTTTACCAATGTATTATTTGACTATTTCTGAGAAGGTGAGTTTTTCTTATCTGATAGGTATGAATAATAGGCGTTAATCATAACGAATGGCTGGTATAGATTTATTGAGCCACAATTTATTCTCGGATTGACTAAAGTCTAAACTGAGCACGACCAAACCCATCTCAATGGACAGAGCTGGCCTTAATTAATTCATCCAAAAAATTCGAGAAGGCTTAAATAGATTAATTTCCCGTGGTGATAGGATAGTCAGAAGATATAGCTCATGTGGTAAAAAATTATTAAGATTGAAACCCCTATAGTGAAGTCCGTAAGGATTGAGGCTCACATGCTAACATAAGGCTATCTTCCGACTGCTCTATCATCATGGAACTAATAATCCAATTAGGCCAAAAAATAAAACCCAAAACTTTCCGAAACATTCGAGCAAATAAAACAAAGTCCAAAACTTCCAACTCTTAATGGAAAATCTTTGCTTTATGATTAATGAAAAGAATCAATCAAAATGATGAACATAATTTCAAAAACACATGAATATAAATTAGGTATTAAGTAGAATTAATTAAGAGAATTTTAACGAAATGCTTCCGGTACTGTTCACTTTAACAAAAAACCATATTTTTACACTAAAAAGTCAATCCTGATACTATTCACTTTACATTTTATTTTGCCTTTATCGTTAAAACTCAAAGTTTTCAAATCATTTTCATTAGATTTCTATTAATTAAAGCTATAGAAGAAGATGGCCATCGCAGTGAGAGAAGAAGAGGCGTTGCGGTCCCACCAGCGATCATCATCTTCAGAAATGTTGATCACTGCAGTGAGTATCTACCGTGCAGAAGAAGTAACTGGTCACGTTGGAAGTCAGTGTAATACTTGCAGGGCTGGAATCATAACTCCACTTGAATACTGCAAAACAATTTTAGAAAAATAAATAAACAGATGTTCACCAATCAAAAGGAGAAATTTTCTTTGCACAAATTCATTTAAAGGGTCGATCCAGGTTCTAATTTGAAGAAATAGAGATCACTCTTATCAAAATCTCTGCCTAGCATCTCTTAGGCCATTGCCTAGACGATAGACGGTTGGTCACCGCCACAATTAATCGCTAGGCGTTTGAAAATTAAGAAAGAGTGCCTAGACTGCCTAACTGTCTTAGTTGCGACTCTCACTTAAACACAAAATAGATAACTTTCATTTTGCATTTTATTTTTTTAATAAATTGTAAGACACTTGTTGAATATTTAGATGAAGACTTAGTTTATGCTTGTTTTTCATGTTTTCAATATGTTCTAATACGTTATAATTTATATGTTCTAAATACAATTATCTATTTTTAAGTATAAGTAGACATTTATTTATATGTTATATAATAAAGTTAATAAAAATAAAAATAAAAAATAAAATAAAAAAAACCTAGGCCCCCACTCAACTAGTGCCTAGCGCCAACCTTGATAGAGATTAATTTTCTCAATGCAACTTGTCTATAAAGACATGACGTACTGCACAGAGCTGAACTAATCAGTAAGAAAGAACAAACATTAATGAAGATTTAGAGGAAGAAATTTTTAGTTATTTATTGTATCATTAATCTGAAATCTCTGTGTTAGCCCAGGTGGAGTAGGCAGTAGAGCCAGCTGGAGGAATAGTCCATTCCAAATCGATCGTCTCCGACTGTGTAAGTATCAGCTGCGGCACCGCCGAACAAGGCCACTGCAACAAGAAGAAAGCAACCAACCAACCTCATAAGACTCACCATTTCTCTCCTGTGTGTTCTTCTTTACTTCGTCCCTGTCTACAAACCCTAATCTCTTCTTTTACTCTTTGCAAATTTTGTTTTTTTTTGTTTTTGTGTGTGCAGATGATGATTGATTTAACGTCGGCTACTTATACGAAAGAGAAGGATGACCAAAATCTATAGAATTTTATTATTTTCGACATTTCGAAATCGAGTTTCATTGTTTTCCAACTTGAACAGATAATCTAGAAGTTTGACCTTCTTACACACGCACGCGCGCGCACACTCACACACACACATATATATATATAGGAAAGTATTATTGACACTTTAAAAATCTCATTCTGTACTTCTTAGAAGTGTATTTTTCTTTTCAAATATAGAAAGTTTGAAGTTTAGAATAAGATTTTTGAAGTACTAATAACAATTCTCATATATATATATATTATTTTCTTTTTAAAAATAGTTAAAGTGTTTTTCTAGAAGCAAAGACCAAAAAGACTTGTATAATATTGTAAAATCTGGGAAGAGTCATCAATTTTGGATTTGACCTCAAATTCCCAACAAGATCCTTTCCAAATCCTCTTGATGAGGATCTTAGAGATTCGTGAATCGTGTCCGTTCATCGTATATTGTGCGATCAGTTTTTGTCAGGTACCGTTTGTATTTAATTTTAAATAAAAATATTTAAAATGATCTCTGACCGTATGATGTACGATGAACTGACACGATTCACGAATCTCCGATATTCTCACAAAGATCGGCCGATGAGGATCCGGATTCCTCAAATTCAACCCTTTTTTTTTCCGGGTTTTCTGGGTGCAATTGAGCAAAGCAAATTAAAAAATAAAAAATAAAAAATAAAAACTACGTAAGTTCTTCATCATCTTGTTTTTCCATATTTAGTAATTTGTATGTATAGTAAACTCGATCTGTCTCTACTTTTTAGTATCGCCTGTACAACAAGGAATTTATTTTTTATTTTTTATCACGACCCTAAAGTAATGGTGATGCTCATCATCTTATGGATTTGAACCCCGTTAATGACTAATCTAATAAAATCTATCATTTGACCAAAAAAAAAAAAAAGTAATTGTGATGCTCATCACCTTATTTATCATCATTAGATGCGTTTAAATTTAGAAATTTGTATAGAGGATAGATACAAATCTTAAAATTTTAATTCATCCAATAATAATAAATAAAATTGTGAGTATTATCACTATTTGAGGGTAGTTAATATTATCATCACTTGAGGGTGTAAACAAAAATACACCCCTTGTAACAATGTGAAGGGTATATTGCCAAGAGACTAAATTGTAATCAGACGAAATGGAATAGGCAGGCATCATGGCCCAAGTCAAATGTTTTGACTTGAACTTGGTGCGTTTTGTATTGTTGCGCTTGGGCTCCAAGATAGGTAGATATCACAACGAGAATGTATATATATTATGGGGGTGTGATATCTACACAAACCTCATTTTACTTCTCATACATTTTTTTAATTTTCTATCGTCGGATTGGATGAATTGAAGAAGATCAACAAACATAAATTATCAAGGGTGTGTAAGAAGTAAAATATGGTGCGTGGATAGCACACCCCTAAATTGTATGACTCAACGTAACAAGTAAAAGCGAAACCAAGAACATACAGAAGTTTGTACACCAGCAAAAGGATCAGATTAACCACAAATTTTGTTTGATTGATGATATGAAGATAACAACCGTATTAGCAAAGTTAAAGTTGCTTTTATAGAAAATTTTCATTCTGTTTTTAGGAAATAAAGTATTATAAATTTTTAGAAATGTCAACAACAGTTAACTACGTAATTATTAACGGGTTTAGTACATATAGTTGTTTTTTCGTATGAGTCAAAGTATTTTGAACGTATCAGTTACAAATTAAACATGAGCAATGGAAGAAGAAGAAAAGATTGATCAACGAAACCTAGTAGAAATGTTTAAAACAAAGTTATGCTATGGTCATTTTTATTTCATTTTACGAAACCATGCCAAGTGGGTCTTTCTGCTTTTTGCCACTGTCTTTTAATATTCGTTATACGTCTCTTTGTCTTAATTGAATAATGTTTCTTTTTTTGTCAAACAAATCTAACTATTGTGTGGCTAAACTGGATTTGTTCTCTCTTTTGAGTCTTGACAACTGAAAGGCTTTGGCATTGAACAAACCCAATTGCAAAAATTAAGCACGTAATATCTTTGACAAAGCAAGAAATTATCTTAGAAGATGAGGGGCACTATGGCACCGTGTCAAACCAAACAAATTAAGTTGTTGAAAGAGTTGGTAAAATTGAAAACGAAGTATATAATATATCTGACTTTGTAGTTCAATTTGTTAGAAACATTCACGTTCGTAGAAATTTTGTTTTTCGACGGTTCATATATATATATATATATTGATTTGTATTTTAAAAGAATCAAACAATCTACTTTATTGCATTTAATCTTTACTTTGTTGGAGAGTCTCAAATTTATATTTTATAGAAAAAAATTGTTGAAAAAACTCTGAAGAATTTAATCGAATTCATTGTTGTGTATAATTTCATTGATCATATAGCTGAATGTCAAAATTCAAAAGCAAAAATTTATTACTATGTAAAAAAAAACTGATCAATATCGTATTACAACAATCCCGCTATAGCTGTCTAATTGAATGAATCACATCACACAAGATTTAAAAGTAGATACCGCCCCGGAAAATAATCTAAAACAACAAAGCTAGAGCAATGGACAAAAAGGTAGCGGAAAGGCCAGCGGCGCCGAGAGAAGCTGCTGCATTTGGTGGTGCTGCTGCACCTTCAGGTGTCGGTGACGACGGAGTAGTTGGGGTGGTTGGAGTTCCAGATGGAGGGGTGGCACTAGAGCCTGGAGGGGTGGCACTGCTGCCTGGAGGAGTGGCGGTGGAGGAAGGTGGCGTGGCGGTGGTGCTGCCGGCGGTGACATTGATGGCAAGCTTTTGGCCTCCGGCACAGTGGCCGGTGAAAGTGCAGATGAAGAAATTCTCGCCGGTGGTGTTGAGAGTGATTCTCGTTGGTGGGTTCGTGAACAGAGCGAGGGGGTTGCTGGTGTTGCATGAGTCGTAGTTTGCCTTGGTCACCACTGCCACGTCGTGTGTTCTGTTCACATAGTTGAACACTGCACAATAAAAAAAACGGAATCAACACCTTAAAGACTAATTAATTTAAAAAAAAAAACGTAAATTGTTTACGAGGCCAAAAATCTGAACTATTTTGATTTGCGTGACAAGAGATCGAAAAATAAGGATGAATACATTGTTCGAACCAATTGACTTGTATTTGTGCATGTTTTGACACATTAGAGCAATTTTGAGATTTGATTTTTTTTTTTTCTTTTAAAAAAGAGTCAGTGACTTCGTCACAATATATCATCCTTTCTAGGCCGGAGTACTCTTAGAGCATTCAGGCATAAATACTTTCCAGAAAAACAATCCCAAAAAGACCATATATAGCGCAAGTGAGGCTTACCTAGAGTGTCACCAACCAAAAAGGTCTTGTTAGCAGCCCAAGTTTGGTAAGAGCCTGGAGGGAGGACGTTCCATCCAGAGTTGTTGCCAACGGTCCAATTGACAGGTGCTCTTGTGGAGCTTGGTGTTGGTGCTGGGGAAGCAGCAGGGGTAGGAGTACTAGTACTCGGAGCCGGTGCCGGAACAGAGGTCGGTGGTGAAGGTGGAGGGGGAGGAGAGGTAGTGCTTGAAGCCGGTGCTGGAACAGAGGCCGGTGGTGAAGGTGGAGGAGGAGTAGTACTTGGAGCCGGAGCCGGAGAAGAAGCTCCGTTCACATTGATGGACAATTTCTGACCGGCACTGCAATGGCCAGCGAAGGTGCAGATGTAGTAATGCTCCCCTGAAGAGCTAAGAGTGATATTTGTAGGGCTGGCAGTCTTCAAAGTAATGGGACTAGTTACATTGCAAGCATCAAAAGCTGCCTTTGTCACTTCCGCCACGTCATGACTTCCGCTCGTAAATGTGAATACTACAAAGCACAAAGTTCAAGAAATTAGTACGAAACATTGAATTAAGTTCACATAAACAAAATGGTCATCAAACAAAAACTTATTTAGTTGAAATTAGTATGAAACATATAACTAAGTGTATAAAAACAAAATAGTTATCAAAAATCGTTCATTTAGTTGAAATTATATATACCAAGAGTGTCGCCGACAACGAAGGTTTTGTTGGCAGCCCATGTAGCATAAGCTGCGGCACCACCGGGAGGGACAACCCAACCCAACCCATCGCCCACTTGGTAAGTAGTTGCCGCTGCCGCCGAGCTCATTAGCAAAGCGGCCGCTGCCATGGCTGCGAAAAACGCCATGTTTGTGTTCCTTGCCATTGCCCTTGTGTTCTTTGAAGGTCAGGTCGCCCCAGTTTTTTTTCTACTCCCTTTTTTTTCCTCTGTCTGAAAACTAATAAAAGGTTTTGGTTTTTAGACTGTCATCCCTTCCTTTATATAGAGGAAGGCTTTGTGCTGACCACTAATTTTGGCTGTTTCGGACCGTTGGATGGATGCCACGTCTGAGGTTCTGTGAGTAATATGGACGGTTCAGATTTGGATGCCAAGTCTGCCGAGACACGGGACTTGTGGAAACTCAGATTTCCGCGTGAGAGTCTGAGAGCTTAGACTAGTCATTGCTTATATCTCTAGAAAGAATAGTTAATGGAAATCTTTAAGGGTAGGGAATTTTTTTTATTGTATAAAATGGGAATTAGTCGTGGAGTTCACATTACATCAAATTTTAATGATCCAAACAGTTTATTTTTCAAGTTGCACTTCATAAATCATCCTTACAAAGTATTAGCCAAATTAGAAATGTTTAAGACATCTAATTGAGTTCAAAGAAATTAATGAATACTTTGTTATATAAAAAACAATAAAATTTTATCTTGATAATTAAATAAGCAAATTGTTTTGGTTTGAATTGAATTTTTGTAAGGATGATCTATGAAACGAGATTTATAAAATAGACAATTTGGATTGTTGAAGTTCGATGTGAAGTGAACACACACCTAATCTCATTTAAAAAAAAATAGCAATCCCATTGCATAAAAGGCCTAATAGTTAATAACTTAAACAAGTGAGAAAAATCGACAGCTACCGAAGAAAAAAGGGTAAAAGGAAGGACTCGTAACAAGTTTCCAAGGAAATTTCCTAATAAATAATTAAGTAGTTTAATTTTTTTAATATAAAGGAAAATTGGAGAAATGTGAACGATGGAAGTTGTCAAACCTAGACTGTAGCAGTAGTTGGCCGATATGGACTCGTTAAAGCCTATTGTTGTGCGACACTTCCTACGTTTTTAGGTTTTCCTTTTATGACTAAACATTTGAGTCAATAAACGTAATGATGATTTAATACGATGCATGAGTGTGGCGTTGGACGACGGGTATGACTAATTTTGAGTGGGATCGGAAAAGGTTAAAGACATTTCAATCCATCTTTGATTACAATCAAATAAAACATATTTTCACAAAATTTTAAACTAGAGAATTACTCATGTTTTTATCAGCTTCGTGCTTCAAACCCAAGATCATGAGGAAACTTGACTTGAAATTCTACTACAATTCGACTACATCACTGGGCGTGATTATTTTAATTTATTAGGATTCACGATTGTTTTTCTTGTTCATAATCGGTTCACCAAAAAAAAAAAAAAAAAAAAAATTAGTTATATATTTATATATACAACTTTTAACTCAATAAGAGAATGAAGGTTTGAAAAGATGTATGTTCGCGTGGTATAGCCGTCTAGACAATTTGATTTATTAACAAGCATAAATAATTCTAAAATAAACGATCAAGTAAGCGAACTTACAATGATAAACCGTTTTCTTCTCCTCGTTCCTACAACTCACCTCAAGTATCCACTTGTTTATCTAAGGAGTTATTAATTCATTTCATTCCAATCTTAGATACCAAACGAAGTCTTACACTTTGATTTTTATAAAAAATACTTCCATATCTCGTTGCTAATATATACGATAATATCCTTCTCTCCAGCTCTTGCTCCACAGGCGTTGTGGGATGAGGAACAGAGAGGGAGAAAATCATCAATGGCCATTGTTCAATCCTTCCGAATACTTGCAATAACCAAAGACAACCCGTTGTATTGATCCACATTGCTAGAACTTTATCATTACCGGAAAGCCAGAATATTTGAAGTGTTAGTGAAACTGCACCACAGAGCCAGAATATAGACAAAGTTAAAAAGCCAGGAATAATAATCAAACTTGTTACTTAAAAGGAGTAAAGTGGCCTGCTTTAATTTGCTCATAGGCTTCTTGAGGTTTTGTTCATTTTTGAGAGGTTTTTTTTAGCTAAAATGGTCGTTGAGATTGACATAACTCTTCACTTTGGTTCTTAAGACTGAAAATCAATAGAAGTGGTCCCTGAGTTTGTCCGCCGTAAATCATTTTCGTCATACCGTGAAAAATTTCTGTTAAATTGAGGGTATTTTTGTCCAATCAACTTCTCTACTTGCTTTTTCCATTTAATGGAGATTTTTTCACGAAATAACCAAAATGATTGACGATGGACAAACTCAGAGACCACTTATATCGATTTTCAAAGTCATGAGTCAAAGTAAAGAGTTATGCCAATCTCATAGACCATTTTGACGAAAAAGTTTTTTTTAAGACTATATGCTGCTTCAATTCCCAAAACTATTTCCCTAGTATTGCAGGGTTCCCTTAAGTTATAAAGGACAATAGAATTATTTTTTTATTACAATCGATATTCTATACTAAGAAGAATGAGTTAAGAGAAAAGACCCTAATCGTTAGACAATCCACCATTTGTAACACTAGATCGATTTCATTTCACTAGCAAAGATAAGGAAGGAATCTATGTGGGCTCATTCCATTACTCTTAGAATTTTATACATATAATTGTCAGCTAGCAACTAGTTTGGTTCATTCTTATTATCCTAATGTCACTAACATCAACTAATTGACTAGTGTTTAAATGAGAATAGATAGTTTTCATTAGATCACAACCCTAAGTAAGCAAATAAAAGTCCTTTGAACATGATCCTAACAAGGGGCAGTTAATTAGCTAGATATGCTAAATTAAATTCAGTTTCAACTTCTGCCTTGGTTGTGGACATTTATAAAATAAAAAATCATATATGCTCGGAAACAATACTTGGATATTGAACAGTCAGTATCCAAAATAATAACCACATGAAATGACCCAATGAGAACAAACCATCTGTTACAACTTTAATTTATAAATGTGTACCAAACACAATATTAACCTCACATCCAAACATCCCCTTTCTTCATCAATGCCTCCCCCTTCCTGCCTCTCTCCTCCTTGCTTCTGCCATGATCTTAGCGCCAGAAACCTTGTCCTCCCCAATGCTTATGGTAACCTCGTCTCATCCGTAGGTGCCATCCACTTCTCCTCCAACCTTTCTCTGTCGACCCTGCCCCAAAATCCTCCTATCTTTATCGTGGAAGCCATGGCAGCACTCCATCGTCGTCGGGCTTCTCCGTCATGGAATTCATGGCAGTACAGAAGCCCAAATTTCCCCAAATAATTTCAACCTCCTTCGTAATTTTTCTTCTGGGTGAAATTTCCTTTGTAAGGTTAGTAAGATGGATATGATCTGTCATGGGTTGGTGAAATTTGGGGGTAAAGCTGCCATGGCTTCAGGAGAAAGGGGTGGGAGGCGGTTGGTGGATGTATGGCAGCTGTGTTCTTAGTGAGAGAGAAGGTGCATGTTTGGAAACTAGTAAAAGAGAAAAATGGTGTGTTTGGTTAGAAAGATAGTGGGAATTTGGGGAGAGTTTTATTTGATAGGTGTTTTAAATTTAGTGATCCTTAGATGATCAGTAAGTTAAGTACTTTCTAGTGAGTACCCAAGTATTATCCTGTGTTGGAATTATATTCATTGCAATTGATTAGTTTAAGCAAGGAGACTTTGCTCCAACTACCAAACTCCATGGTTTATTTATTTGTTTTATATAATTTTGATTAACCCAACTCCATCGTTTGTTTCCAAGAACTTTCCAAGTGACTAACTGTTGCCTGGAGCAAAGTTTATTTCTCCTGGAAAAGGATCATTGCCGGATCTTTTTTTTAGGAATCTTAGAGATTTTGTGATCGTGATCGTTCATCATACATCATACATCATGCGATCATAAATCATTTCAAAATTTAAAATTTAAAATTAAATATAAATATTACCTAACGAAAACTGACCGCACGATGTACGATGAACGATTACGATCGTGGGATCCTTAGGATCCCTAGGAAAACGATTCAGCGAGGATCCTTTTCCTATTTCTGTAATCCAATTTGGAGTTTTATGATATATAAATATAGGTAGTGCTATCTACATATCTATTTTTACTTCTCACACACATTTTTCAATATTCAGCCGTTGGATTAAATGAATTTAAGAATATCAATGGAAAAAAATAACAAATGTATGTGGAAGGTAAAAAGGGTGTGTGAATAGCACTACCCTAAATATAACATTGTGGATCAGTGATAATTTTTTTCATATTTGTAAGTGAAAAATTTAGTGATGATATTTCATTTATATGTATATGACGATGACGTATGGTATTCATGTTGAATTTTATACTTATTATGGTTGTCCATTATGTGATTTAGGGTATAAGAATATCGTTTTATATATAAAAAAAGGGGGCAAGTGGACAAAAATAAGCAATTGGCAGCAGTTTGTTTGTATATAACTAGAGTAAAGGAACGTACATACAACCAGGATTATTACGAAGGCCAAAGGTGAATACAAAAGCAAAATCATAAAATATAATCAAATAAAATCAATACAGCCTCACAGCATGTACTGCAATTGTATGGAACATATTCAAAGGAATTACAAATATCAACATGAGCTAGCCATGGCTAGCTAGTGACTAATGATCAATAGAAGAAAGCTGCCACGGCAATGAACAAGAAGGTGAAGTAGCCGCTGCCAATCCTGGACGGGGCTGAGCTGAATGGAGCATGAGCAGCTCCTGGTCCACTGGTGCCGTGACTAGTAGGCGAGGAAGGTGCTATGGAACCCGATGGTGGTTGGGCTGTCCTTGATGTTACGTTAATGGCTAGCTTTTGGCCCAATAGGCAGTGGCGATCGTAGGTGGATATGAAGAAATGCTCACCGCTGGTGTTGAGAAGGATATTCACTGGACTATTTGTGTAAACGGCGATAGTGCTGTTGGTGGTGCAGTTTTCATAAGCTGGCTTGGTCACCAAAGCCACATCGTCTTGTGTTCCATTGACAAAGTGGAAAACTACAAAAGCAAGAAAGTAAAACATTGTCAAAGAATTAATAATTACATGTAAGAAACAGAATTTGATCGGCTTTTAATTAGTCT